GGCGGGAACAAGGGCGGGGGCAGGCTGCGGGTGTAGACGCCCGCCTCGCACACACGAGGAGAGAGCGAGAGAGAGAGAGAGAGAGAGGGGCGTGCCGCGCTGCCTCTCTCATGGGGTTCTTCGGCACCAGTTTTGCATTTCCGGGCTTTTCAGCCAATCAGACGGGACCTAGTCCTGCCCCTGCTTCCGGCCACGGCTCCTCCCCCGCAGCAGCTGCCCCCCCCCCCCATACACACAGAGGGGGTTTCCTGCCGTGTGGAGACACCGTTTTAAGTCAGTTTTGTCGGCTGACTCAAAGGACATTTCATGTTCGTGTAAGGAAATACCTGGTCCTTCACAAATATAAAGCAAATTAACAGGTTCCTCTAAATCATCTGAGGTGTAGGACCTATTTATTTTTGTATTTTGAGCTTCTTGCAAATGTCATCACATAATTCAGCTTACTGAGTTGTAGTTAACCTGATTATGTTGCATCGCTGTGGGCTAAGAACATACACATGGAAAGTCAACTGACACAGGGTAATGTGGTAAGGTTGTTCAACCTGATCACATATTTGAGCCTGTTTTCAGGGTGAGGGGGAAAAAAACCCTCTGCTCCATTCCGCCCTTATGTTCCCAGTGTGCAGAGTTTTCGGATGTGCATTTATTTGTTATTTCTTACCTAGGAACAAAATCCTTTCATGCTCTAAGGAACTCAGTGCCATTTCAGCAGTGCTGTATTATTTTCAGAAGGAAGTTGACAGGCCAAAGGAAAAATAGAAACCTCTCAGAAATCCAGATGTGGGAGCTTGGGAGAGTTCAGATGGGAGCAGTACATCCCATCTGAAAGATGTAAATGAGACTATATTTGCTTCAAGTTTCCCAAGATGTGCAAATAAAGCTATTTTATGTCAGCGCTGGAATACTGTGATTGATTATGTGAAAGACTTGCTTAGAGTGCCACAAGCAATTCTTTCATTAATTAGCTCTTCCAGTCACAAGGTATTGGAGCTACCTGTGCAAGTGGAAATAGGAAGTATTAAGTTTTCCAGATTCCTTTTGGTTATTCATTCTAATGTATGCATTCTTAGGGGAAAAAAGAAATTACAGTGATTTGTGAATCATAATGATCTGGTTCTGTTGTGCCTTACAAAAAGGCAAATGCAATATTAGAATCAAATTTCTCAGAACCGCCCCCCCACCCCACCCCCCAAAAAAAAAAAAACCTTGACGAAAAAGCAAGCAGTAAATTCAATTATTTTTACTATCTAGTATTAATTTGCAGCAATTTTAGTGATTTATTTTAATCTGTGGTGCAAGAGAGAGAAACTGTCATTTCTTCGTTTCTGTAGTCTGTTCTTCCCAAATATTTGGATTGTTGCACTGGATTTTTGGAGTTAATGTAAGGAATACTTTTCCTATCATCCATCTATCTATCTATCTATCTATCTATCTATCTATCTATCTATCTATCTATCTATCTATCTATCTATAGATCTATCTGTCTGTCTGTCTGTCTGTCTGTCTATGGAGGAAGGGAGGGAAGAAGGAAAAGGAGGGAGGAAAGGAGGGAAAGTAGAATGGAATTAAAATCTTTGAGTCTATAGACCAGATAACTTTTGTGCCATCAAATTATTTTAATCCTGCCAGCTGCAGTCTTCACTATGATAAGCAGAACATGTGTGTAGCAGACAGAATATAAAACATATTTGGGAAGAAAAATTCCTCTTTCTGCAGTGTGACATAGAACTTATTGTAGAGGGAAAAATGAGTCTCAGTCCCCCAGCAGTCTGATTTGCCATGAACCCAAATATTTTTAATGTAGGGAGCTGCCTGTGAGACGTGATGTCACCACTTCCCTCTTCCCTTAAATCATAGAATCATAGAATGACAGTTGGAAGTGACCTCAAGGATCATCTGATCCAACCTTTCTAGGTACCACTATAGTTTATATGAGATGGTTCAGCACCCTGTCAAGCTGAGACTGAAAACTGTCCAATGTGAGGGAATCTACCACTTTCCTTGGGAGACTGTTCCAATATTTGACTGTCCTCATAGTGAAAAATTTACCTCGTGTCTAATTGGAGTCTTGCCAGGAGCAACTTTTGCCCATTACCCATTGTCTTTTCCACATGACTCCTTGTAAATAAGGAGTCTCCATCTTCTTGATAGCTACCCTTGAAGTACTGGAACATGGTAGTAAGGTCTCCCAAAAGCCTTCTTTTCTCAAGACTGAACATGAACACAACAGTGGAGTCTTGGACAATATTTTGTCATCAAAAGGAATAAGATATAATGGCTAAAAGCTGACACAAACTTCCATATAAGATTCACAGTTGTTCACTTTTACAATAATGAAAGTATTTTCCTTAACATATTACCTCATTTTAAACAAGGAGTATCAGCCTTTTTCAAAGGAAGAAATGATCAGCTACGATAAACATGAGACCATAATAGCATGGCTGCTCTAAAATACTGCCTAGGCTCTTAGAAGTGTTTCTGCCAGCTAACTTATAGGCAAATTCTTTGTGTCTGAAGGCTCTCCAGAGAATATGTGCTGTAGGCACTAGCTACTCAATTTTGCTAACTTGGAGAGATTTTTCCCATGTCAGGCTTTGCTTCTTTCAAGAAGCATAACCCTCCTTCTAGATGGACTACCCACCACTAGCTGCAAAATTGTCTTCAACCCATAGGCAAGAGAGAAAAATTCAATATCTAAATTTAAATAATAATAATAAAATCTATACAGAAATCAACAAAAATAATACCAGATAAGTTGTATGCTGAAATTCTGTTAGGGATATGCTAAAACCACTTATCATTGTTCCTCTCCCTTGACCTCTTCTTGACTCCAAGTCATAACCAAAATACATTATCATAAAGATCACAGAACTTGAGATCCACCTTACTCACTGCTTATATACATACTAGAACTTAGGTTTTTTATGTGAACATTGGCCATGTTATTTGGAAAAAATATTAATTGGAAACTGTCTGAGTTCAAATGATAAATATGTTTTGTTTTTCCTCTCTTGATTCTAAAAATCCTGAACTTTGTTTTCTTTTTTGTTTTTGGTTTTCTTTGTTTGTTTTTTGTTTGTTTGTTTGTTTTGTTTTTGTTTTGCTTTACAGCCTCCTCTACAAAACCAACTTATGTCAGTTACAGCAATCAGGCAAACTGAGCAGGGATGACATTCACTGGAAGACCTGCAGGAGGGGATCTTGCGATCACAGGCATTATTACCACCAGAATTCAGTCTTGGAAATATCAGTAGACTACATTCAAATCAATAGTCAGTCTCCTAAAGGACAAGGATTAAACAAGAGGCAAAAGGCAAACATAGACAGGGGAAGGAAAATTCCGATTTTAAAATACAGAGGCAGTGACAAGCTTCTGAACTGTTCACTCACAAAAGGAATTAAATCACAAAAGGAAAACAAATGTTAGCTTGTGAAGAAAAAAAAAAAAAAGCTGTTGAAATAAATCATGTCTGATGTTATATTTGTAAGTACTTTTTTGTGATTGTGACAATTTCCTTTCCTGTCCTACATTGTTCAACTAGTAAAAGAAGGTGAATTTGTTTCTTGTGACGGCTGACTGAATTAAGTCCTGGGTTATGCTAAAATAAATGCAATGGTCAACGCATGCTAATTTTTATACAAAACAATTTATTTCTAATAATAAAGGAATGTTTTGCAAATGTTGAGACTTGTTTTGTTGCAGTTTTAAGGAAAAAGTCCTTACACTGTTGTCTATGTTTAGAATGTGCAGTAAAGGTGGGTGTACAAATAAAATAATAATCATGGCATCAGAAGAATGCAGTGTAAACTCTAAGCATGTGTGTGTGTGCGCGCACGTGTGCGTGTATGTAAGTGCATGCCTGCATGCATGTGTGTGTGTGTATTCTGCAGTGTGTGAATATATTTGTTTAAAGCTTTGTGACTATATTTTCTAATGGAAGGATTTTTTCCCTCTTCTCACCCTCAAAGTAAGTGCATTTTATATGTTTGTAAAGTGAAGGAGTCCTGATGGCAATTATTTTGTATGATTGTAGTATATTTTTGAACCTCCACTAATATTTTTGTTCCTTTTCATTTCTGGAACTTACAGTTTGTAAGACTATGACAGCTAGACTGGATTAAGGTGAAAGTCTATTCAGCCTAGTATCCTGTCTTTGACAGGGGAATGTAGCAGATGCTTATCTCAATAAAAGTGACTTTGAAATAACAGAAGAGAAATCAATGGAGAATTTGGAAAACAGTAACGTGGTGGCTATATGTGCTATTGCCTTATTAACACTTAAAAATCAAAGCAACAGGTGCACATCTACAACTTTCACATCTTCTAACTCCCATGTCAAATTATTGTTTGTGCATTAGAAATAATTATGCAAAGAGTAACTCATCTAGATATCTACCATGTGAATAAAGCTCTCCAAAGAAATTTTTAAAAGACGGTTAGGGACTTTCTGTTTTGTTAATATATCTGCAATGTTCTTTAAGACTTTTTCACTCCACACACTATTTACCTTTCTTCAAGTCAAATGGTCTTCAGAATCAGTTTGTTATTAAATGTTATTTGTCCTGAATTAGCCTGGATGGCTCCTTGTGCTTTTTTTCTGTAAAGGAGCTATATTTTTGTAACATCTTAAAGAAGCTGTGCTGGGTCCTAAATTGCATGAACGAAAGTTGAAGTATCTGAAATTAATCTCTTTTAGAATATCAAGATTTAGACTCCAGCACAGTCCGCAAACTCCATGACAGTGAAGTGCTATTTTCAAAATATTTCCCCAGGATTTTAATGACTGAAGGGGATTCTTTTACCAGTTATTGCTTTGGCATAATGTGGTATTGTGTGTTTGGTATGTGTGATAGATTGTGTGAAAAGTCCTTTTTTGACCACTTTACAAGCAGATTAATCCCAAACCTATAAACCAATATATGCTTAATTTTAAGTATATGAGTAATGCACCTAATGCAATGAGACCTAAAGGAAAAAAAAATATTAAAACTCTTTTAGTTCTGTTTTGCTAGGTAATATTTCACAAAAAATGTAGGGTTTTGTGAAAACTGTTTGATTATGTCAGTGTTTTAACAAGACAGATTTCCACATTTGGAGTGTATTTCCTAAGAGAGAAAGGGAGAGACTCTCTTTTATCTAAAAAACAATGTTTTGGCACAATTTCTTTTCAAGAAACCTTTGAAGAGTTTCATTTTCAATCCACAACAAAAAAAGTTTCAAATATTTTTCTCTGTAGTATCTCCACATAATAGCATAAGCATGACATATGCATTTGAAAAAGCAGTACATAGGAGTCGTCTTTAAAGCACATTTCATATATAGATAAATATATTTTATATGCACATCAAGATTAGTGTATGATATATGAATATCTTCGAGCTTCACAGTAGTACAAAAAAGGTGTTCTGAACTGATTTATTTTGACCAATATACCCTTTTATTTTTGTTCAACAGTCGGGTAAACTGGAATGCAAATTCCATTAGTGCTTTTCTGTGTCATTCTTTGTGAAACATGAAATGTATTAAGCCAATGAGTCTCGCTGGTATTAGTATTATTTAATTTATCTCATCAGGTAAAAGATGAGAAGTGTGAATTTTGGAATTAACTGGGAATTTTCAAAATGCAACAGAATAGCACTGGTCTACAGGTCTCCCTTCTAGCAGTTATGTGCAGTTTATGCATTTGCATAGAGTGGTGCATATCTATTCCCTGTAACGGTGTTCAGAAGCACATTCATCTCTTGTATCCCCCTAGAACTAAGGAAGAACAATGTATTTTATTTCTGAATGAAATTTTGAATTGGTTCTTCACATCTTAGAATTTCTCCTTTTCAGACAGCATCAGTTCAAAAAACTTCTTTCTAGTTACCTGATCTGTGAGTTCTGCATCCAGGACTGTTTCTTCAGGTGGCTTTAAGTGCCATTTGCACAACAGATTATGCATCAGTTCTACAAAGTTAGGTGATCTAAATTTTGTGACCCCACCTGAGCCCTACTTGGGGGATTAGTGATGAAGAGACTGTAGTCTACAGCCTCTAACCAAGTCCTTTGCAGCATTATCATTGAACACAAACTGTTTATATAGAGGAAGTAAATATTTTTCAGTTATTGATTCTAATTAGATTGAGTGATTGCCTTCTCATCTTATTGGGGCTTTCTTCTCCAACTGAGCTATTAGAATAAAAATGAACTTCCTAAAAAAAAAATTAAAAAATAATAATTGCCATAAAGAAAGAACCATAGAATTGTATAATGCAGTTGAATTAAAAATTGCTATAATTTTACAACATAATTATAAAAAAGGATGAACTTGAGAAAAATTTCTTCCATTCCTCTTTACTTTTTTTAGTACAAGCTGCATTTTAATTATAAGATTAGCAGAATTCAGTCAACAATAAGAAGATAAATCCCTGCACAGTCTGTTATTATTGTGCCTCCAGATACTCATGCAGCTTTAGTTTATTCTCTGTCTATTGAATAGTCGTCACTTAATGTTTCTATACAGAAAGCTCACTCTTTGTTGTGGGATTTTTTTAGGTTTATTTTGTTGCTTTGGGTTTGTTTGGATGTTGGGGTTTTTTGTTGTTTTGTTTTGTTTTAACAGCCTCTGTTTCGACCTTGTTTTGTTCTTTATCTTACGGCACTGCCATTTGTGAAGCTAAAGTTAAGCCACTATCATTACCATTATGAATTATATTACCTAACGCTTGTAAAGGTTCTGCAGGTTGAAGCTTGGCATGCATTGTCTTAGTGTATATGCAAAAGAATGTAAACGGAAAAACATAATTATTTAGGTAAGTTAAAATTAAAAGCTTACAGAATTAAGTCCTGAGGCAGATGTAATGAAGCAATGGGAACAATATAAAAATTAAGATTTGGCCAGTGATCATAATACAGTATGTTCTGGTGATGTACAATAAAATTAGAAACATAAAGGTGACATTATAGAACAGAATCATACAAAAACATAAATGTTTAGTATCCATTCTCACATAACTTTTAACTCTCTTCCCTTCAAAGTATATTTTGAGGGCCTATGGTCCTAATGTAAAAACATTAATGAATATCTTACCTTCAATTCACAGATTTGAGATCAGGTATCGGATGATTTATCATTAAATTAAACTACAGCTTTTAAACTATTTACTTTTAATAAATGGCTATCACTGAAAGCTATGGTACTTATTATTTTTTTATTTTTTTAAAACTGATAATTATAAACCTTAAAATGCTCAAAGCATACAAGTATTTCTAGTGTATGAATCACTCACCTATTTATAAAAATCCTGTGCAAATTAGGTTTTACAAATTAAGCAATGTTTTGGAACTGCTAAGGCAGATTTTGTATTGGCCTGAAACTAAGTCACAGGGCAGTCTTTAAATCGTCTAGTTTTTGCTGATATCTGAAAGTATGCAACAAGTAGAGCTAGAGAAGAACATTTTAACCTGATCGAAAAGAGATGATTGTTGAGGGAGAAAGAACCAAATAGTGAAATCTTTAGATAAATCATGAGAAATTACTCCCTTTATGACTGATTGACATTAAATGTCTTAGTACCTAAAATGGTATTGATCTCAGCGCTTTCCATTTATAAACAAGAATAGGTGAAGGTCTTGAGCTGACTGGCAACTTTAGTTCTGCAAACTGTCATTGCCTTGCTTCACAAAGGTGAGCAGTTAATTCTAGAAATATTAAAATGCATACAGACTGGACTGGTGTCTCTAGCTTGCAGACAGGTGACATGGTGAGATCTATCTCCCTATAGAGAAGCTGTCCCAATCTATAAAACTAGTGCATACTTGTTTTAGTATACATTGGCAAGATTTACTCTCTCCTATCAACCATGCATTTCCACAGATATACTCAAAGATAGACTGTAAGCTAAAGATTTGATCCAAAGCCAACTGGCATTTACAGGAGTCTTTTAATAGACTTACTTAGAACCACCCAAAGGGACTGGATGAATCTACTTATTTCTAGTCTAGACCATAACCTGAAACCATGCAATGAACTTAGATGGACAATGCACAATGTCAAAATACACTTAAATCTAATTTTGTCCAGGAGAAACTACCATTGTTATTAATGAGGTCCCAGTGGCAACACCAAAAGATGTTTGCTAGAAGCACAGAGAAGGAAGTATTAGGCTCATAAAAAAC